GAAAGAGCTGAACTAAAGACCCTTGATTAAGACCCTCCATAAAGACTCAGTGATCTTTTCAGAGGAGTTGGAAGATTGATTTAAACAAAGGATTAGGCTCTTGTCCATCTCTAAGGAAAGAACATGAAATAATGTGAAGGACAGAAAATGTGCAAATCAGGCTGGTGTGACACATGCAGACAGTATGAAGAACTTAGTTTTGGAAAAAAATCCAGACAACTGAGTAGCTATTTAGGACCTCACCCACAAAAGGCTTCTTTAAGCTTTCAAGCAGTTTAAGAAAGTTCACACAACACGGGCTTCCTATTTCTCTTATTCTTTCTTTTATTTCCTTTCTTTATTTTTCCTTCTTTAACTGTTCTCTTCAGAAAAGTAGAAAAATCCATCTTCAGCCTATTGTTCCTCAGTAACCAACCATTACCTAAGGGATGATTTTGATGTAGAATTTTAATTTAAAGGCTATTATTTTTTTAACAAAGATCATTACTGCATCATTAGTAATTTGCAGGTAATTGCAAATTTCTTAAGAGGCAGCTTAGGTTTCAAAATACATAAATGAAGCCATGGATTTTAACTAGGGGTGGTGTCTTAGATACTCTAAGCAGCTTTGAAAAACTTGGTACTTTTTTCTCTGGTTTGTGGAAAGAGAAAAAAATAATTAAAAAAAATAATCAACTTTCACTATTTATTTTAAATAGGGGGGGGGGAAACAACAAACCCACAGTTTGAGAATTTCCAGCCCTGTTGAATTGCTGTTTTGTTCAGACTAAGTGGATCCTCCACTAGGATCTCTTTGGATACCTATCTCGTCAGATTCCACTGCAGGTCTCTTATCCCTCCTCTAAACACGGTTGTCCCAGAAGGAAGGATGTCCTGGGGTCCAAACCCTTGGATCAGTCACAGTTGGGCTCAGTCCTATAGACTGAGCTGTGACACTAAACCCGTGGTTTATTGTGGAAACAGCACCAGGAGAATGTGAATATAATGGGTATTCTTAATATTAAATAATTTACTGTAGCTCAAGTCTGTGTTTACTTCCTGACTGCCACAGATTTCCTTTGTAAAACTGGAGAAGTCATTTCAGGGCATATCAAAAAGTGCTCGCTGTCGTTTTCCACACCGACAGCCCCTCCCTTAATCCCCGTGCATTAATATTGTATTCGTAAAAGAGATAGCAATCCCTTCTCTTTTGTTTCTCAGGTCTAATCAGTTGGAACGCTTGTTGCTCGGTGTGTGGGGACTTGCCCTTTATTTGCCCAATGCAATGCAATCTCAGTTAGGACTTCAAAGAGCCGTTGGAATTCCAATTATAAATAATATGATAAATACCAATGAGGAAAGCCTCTTTTACTCCAGGCTGTTCCATTTGCTCACCAAGTGACCTCTGACAATTCATTTAGCCACTGTGCTTCGCTATTAAACCTAGATAATAACTAGAATTAAAATTTGCCAAAGGCAATGAAAAATTCAGCTGCAAGGGAAGTTCGAGGTAGCATTTTATATAGTGCCCAAAAACTGCAAAAGCAGTAAAAGTCTCAAGGTGTCCCACGAGGGATAAGGGGCTGTAAAAAGAGGGTGGAATGAGTACAAAACACTGTCTCTGGGACAGTATTTAGAACAGAGAAGGAACACAGGCTACGCTAAGCCTGGATTAATGACACAAAAGGATTCAACTACAGAACGTGAGCATAGTTGGGAGCTAAGGTTTTTCCTGCCAGGCATTTCCAGCTACATTCCTGTAGTGTTTGTTAAAGATTGTATCTGATTTGCGATTGTGGAAAGGTCTCCATGGGGCATTGTCCTGGTTCAGGCGATGTCCGGAGCCACTCAGCTCACCCTGGTGCAGGGAAGGAGCTGCCACCTCAAAGCCACCAACCACTCCTGGGCTCCTTCACACCAACCCTCCCACTGCCAGGCTCCATGCCTGGACCATCACCAGGTGTCCCCCTGCTTTATCTATAAAATTGAGCTACTGGGGCGATCCCTGTAATTAGGGGATGTGGTAGCTTTCCTCCCCAAGAACAGTGCCTGTGGTGATTTACAGTCAGTAAAAAATTGGATTTTCCTTTTTTTTATCTACAAGTTTTTCAGGTTTATCTTCACTTGGCTTGTGAGCACCATGTCATGTGAATTTTATACTGATATAACCCATTGTTTTCTCTCACCGTGGTTAAATTGCAAGAACCGGAATCTTACTAAATGATTTCTGAAAGAAAATAAACATGTATGAATCTCCATATACATATATATATATATATGAGACTCTTCAGCCAAATGAATCCTGCAGCACAGCTTTAATGTTACATAGCTCCTCAGTGGCAGAGCAGTGTTTAGGCAGATTAATTAGACTTAAATCTTAGGACCTTCCCATCTGCCTTTACTCCCCTTTTGCTTGGGGCCCTGAAAATGGTCTACTTTAATCAGAAAACTCTACTAATTTTCCCCGTTTCTCACTTTGGCCCTAAAAAACAACCTGGTCAAGGTGCAATAACACTTGACTCAAAAAAGAAAAGTCCAAACATCGCTAAGAGTGAAACACAAATCCACCCTTTTAGTGCAGACTGGGGATTTTTGGCCACCTTCTGGCAAAAAGTGAAACACCTATTTCATTCCTTGGGTTTCCCCCCTAGATCCACATGCTCAAAATCAATAAGAGACAAAAGACAGAGCTCTTACTTTGCAAAATAAAAATAAAAATTATTTGCCTCCCTGAAGAACAGCTGCCTTCAGTGAATAGGAAAGGCTTTATCTGATGTTTCTTATGCAGAAGGAATAGGCAAATTTGTTCTCCATTGCTCTAAGCAGCCTGATTTAATCTTGAAATATTTTAGACAAATCTGTATAAATGCTCTGGTAACCCCCCAGAAGGGTTGAAGGTGTGAGGATGCACAGGAAGGAGCACAATATATCCAGCAGGTGGTCTAAACGTGAATTTTCCTAACTAGAACAGAGCAAAGAGAGGTGGAAAAGGGACCAAAACATGGGAAAAATCAGCTACAAATACATTACGCCAACTTGCACCAGCCTTGGCTCCAGTCATTCTGTGAGGCTGCGAAGTTTTAATGAAATTCTGTATTTCAGCCTTAGAGCTTTACCTTCTCCTGAGGCGCTGGTGCATCTCTGAACAGGGAAGTGCCCTCTGGAGTCCTGTCACCAGGGTCCCTTTTCTCAGTCACACCACTCCCAAAAAGCTTTTTAGTCCCACGCTGAACTTTACCAGCTTCAAGCAACCATCAGGCCTCAGAACCTCATGGCAAAGGCCATCAAAACTGTTATTTCTTTTTCATATTCAAAGTGAAGGGCAGCAGTTGCGCGGCGCTCAGAAGATGACATCCTCCCTTCCTTGCCTTGTGAACAGGGAGGAAGGAGTCCTTTGTTCATAATGATTATTTACTTAAAACTTTCCTTCGTATCAGAAATTATCTATAGCTTGGGAGGATGTTAGCAGGGGTCCTAAGGCAAAAGCATTTATGGAAACTTGTGAGCTGAACAAAAGCTTTCAGGGTGATTCCCAGTCATTTACGCAGACAAAGTATCGTGCGTTGGGTGAGCTAATGCAATACAAGGAGCTGTATTGTACTCGTTAAGTGTGTCCCCAAATATGTAAGTGATCCCTATCCCTGACATTACAATAAGGTTTAAATTAAGAATACCTTTTATGTATTAAAAAAACCCACAACTCTTTCTGTTTTATAAGCTGGCACGTCAGCCAAAACACTCTTGCCTGCACTAACTGGTGGCTTTCTCAGAAACCAGTTTCCACTGAAATAGATTTCTCTGAATACTGATTTCCCTCTTTGTCTTTAACGTGATATCCCTGGGATAAAGATTTCCTCTTTAAAGGGTTTATAGAAACATTTTTAAATCCACATGTCTGGCTTATTCATAAAAATCTTGACAAAGTGACAGCCTTCATTTTCTCCAATTCTTTGGTAGTCTTACATTAAACTTACATCTCTCATTAGTGTTAAATTAAGCGCTCATCAGGATAAACCTATTTCTTGTGTACTTTTTCCCCCCACCACCCCGAATCTTCACCTTAGTAGTGTCACGGGAAACCACAGCTTGGATGGAAACACCAGTTTCAGGGTACAGTCCATTGCAACCTTCCCTTTCCTATGAGATTGTCCTTTTCAACCTGATCAAAAAGCTGGGAGGGAAAAAAAAAAATAATTAAATTTTTTTAAAAAAATGTCAACCCCCAACCCGACTGTGCGATTCTCTGTGACTCCATTTTGAGTCAGTGGCAGAAAAACGTGGGTGGCATCTACCTGCCTTTAATTGCAACACAGTCAAACCCTGCAAAGACACCTGAAACAAATCCACATGCTCCACTTGAACTCTATGCAAGCACTATTTGTAAAGCCTGAAGTGGCTGTTAGATAACACTGAGCTTTCTTCCGAGGAATCTATCCTGTGGGAGATGGGAAAACAGCTACAAATTTAATGAGTTGTTCCCCCCTCCATCAATACTTACTGGGAGGGGTAACAGCTGTATATTGTGAAGTTTAACGCCCTGTAAGGCATTTCAGAGGAAAACTCTCTTCTCTTCCACATTTGGGAAATGAAATTCCAGATTTGGGAAATGAAAATAAAACCCTATTCCCTGACAAAAAATGGTGCTACGGGTGCTCCCTCGAGTCCCTTTCACAGACTGAATTTGAGGGAGGGGAAAAAAAGCAACAAATAACAGGAAGCTTGATCAACTCCTGATATAACTGAAATGTGGTTAATGAATTATATCAAGTTCTTTTTGACCCATGAGATGTTAAAGTGAATCCTGCCTGCGGGGTGTAGGATGTATTTAGCACGCTATGTGAGGATCCAATAGCTCACAAACACAAACAGCGAGCAAAACAGTTTCATTACTCGCAGAAGTTATGTATGCAGCAAAGTTTGTTTTGCAACTAATTAGGACTTCATGCAAAAAGGGTGTCACATCCTCCAGGCAATTTGACTAAGTGTATAAAAGCATTTGCTACGTAGAACTCTTCTAATCACTTTTCTTAAACTCTTCTCCTTGGTGATCCGGGTAAGTCAATTTTGAATCAATTACTTATTGCTGTCTAAATATTATCAAATGATAGGTTAAACTTAGGAAATGGCAAGGGGGTATTCTTCCAGAAGTATACTTTCTATTGTTCTTTAGTTTTAAGTCAATATAAGTTTTACACTTCAGAGGTGAAAGCTGGCATTCGCAAACGACGTCGGTGTTCAGGACAACAGTTCATTTACACCAGGGGCGGCATATAAAACACCCTCAGAACTCTAAAGAGCCTCAATAATTTCGTGCTGGCAAGCATTCTTTTCATGTTATGAAGACTAGGTTTCATTAAAGAAATTATAATTTTAAAAAATTAATTTTTTTTTGTGACGTTCTCACCCTCAGCTCTCTCCAAGCAAGCGACGGTGTCTTTTAACAGTTGGAGAACTTGTCCTAAATATTTTCAAAATCCTAGAGACTGGAACTCAGGCTTCTCTTCCTAAAAAGCCACTTTACTACTGGTTTAGTTTAAAATCTGTTTTTAGTGCCGAATTCCAAATCTAGAAGGAATGTACAAGAAGGAATGTTCCTCCTTCACCTCTTTTCTTGAGGACTAGGACAAGCTCTGACAAATTGCCCGCCTGTGTTGGACCACTCAAAGATCTCTGCCCTTAACACTGATCTATGGTAGCAATTCTTTTTCCAAAGGCAAATTTAGTCCTTTCTGATCTAGCTCTTTACCTGGTCAAAATATTCTGTTGTTGCCTTTTTTTTTACCTTCAACTCAAAGGCATAGGATCAATTGGAAAAAGCTGAAGGTGCAGCCCTGAGGTCTGGAGAAGGCAACGATGGCGTACGGATGAGATTTTTAGAAGGAAACACAAGAAATTTGCCCTGAATTTTCTTTCTCCTGCAGACTCCTGGCGTAAACATTGGGACTCATTTAGGAAATCACTTCAAGCCCATCCTTTATGCCAGCCCTTAATCTCTTCCACATCAGTTTCATGCTGATAAAGTGAAGAAAATTATCACTTCTCCCTCACTCTGTTTCCCTTGCCTAATTACTGTGGGCACGATTGAGGGCAAGGATAGCCTGTTAATCTATAATTATACAATGCCCAAGAAAATCTGGCCTTGATATCAGTTACAGTTTTAAAGAGCTGTGTGATTTCAAATATAAGATAATGTAATCAAGGTGATATTTAATGAGACTAATAAAAGATGGGTGGATCTCCATCCCAGCTCCTACTGTTCCAATTCTAACCAGGTGAGATGAGGTAACTGGCTTCACCCCCATGTTTTGATTTTTCCAGCTCCATGAGGATTAAAATTGAAGTTCAAAACATGGAGTTGAGTTGGGGTTACAGCAAGGTTGGACTTGGCAATAGGAGTGAGAGCAGCGCAACACGTTGAAAATCCTGGGAAGAGGGCAAAAGAGGCAATAGCATAAGAGCATTTTAGGATAAAAATAGTGATGATGTAGAAAATACCATCAGATATTGAGACAATGAAGTTCAAAGGGGTAACCTAGGAAAGAGAAGAGTTACTGGATGGGGAAAGGAAATTGGACAAACATTTAACTATCACGTGAGCTATTTGCACCTTGTAATTTCCCCTTTTGCCAACAATCGCAATATCCAGCACACAACCCAATCTTCCCAAAATCTCGATTTCTACCGTGTAAGCATCTTGCTGAGCTAACGACTGCCTTTTCTCCCCCTTCCTCCTGTCTTTCAGGTCTGGATCTCTCACATGTCTCCCTACGAGTGCTGCCTGCCGCCGGGGGTGATATGTCCCGAGCCATTTGCCCTCACCTCCAACGAGACCTGTGTCATTAAATACCCCGACACAATAGTGGACATAGTGGAACCTGACTCGCCACCATATTCCGTGATATATCCCGGCCCAACTCTCACCACTTTCCCTCAGCAAACTATAGTGGGATCTACTGCGCTGTTCGATATGAGAAATTTATTCGGTTTCAAGGGATCTCCCAGTTTTAGGGGTATGTGTGGTTCTGGGACAGCGTGTAATTCAGGATTACCATTTTATGAGACGGGAAACTTTAACCCTTTTTATCCTTACTTCTCCAATCCGTTTCGTTATAGAACTTGCAGGCCAACCTAATTCCAACATGGATATCTGTGGATAAAGGGAAAAGCAGAACTGAACAGTAAGGACAGATCACGGCTAAGTCTATGGATAATGGATTACAGAAGTGCTGAGCTCCCACGGTTCCCAGTGGAGTCCATAAAAGCATGGCTTCCTGACATTAGACCTGCACGAGGACTAGAATTTCCAATCTGCAAGAAATTTAAATTCCACTGACCTCATTCAAAATTAGGATGAAATAAAATTTAAAAAAAAAAAAATAGAATTTTACCAAGAAACAAGATTTTCAAAAATATATTTTTGGTTCGATAAAACAGTGTCTCTCAATAAATTTAAGTTTTTATGCCAACATTGACTTTTTATTATCAATTTCTCTCAAAATAAAACACGTAAAATATTTCAAAAATTATATGACTGAAAATCTTGGGTTCCAAAAAGAAATTTTATCAAATTTCGTATTCACTTGTGTATTTTGCTGAACCAGCATTTACCATTAAAAAAATAAATCAGCTCTACTTAGCATTTCTTAAAATTAGGCATTCATAAGTCTTTTTTGTGCTTTATTTCTGCTTAGACCCATGAAGTGATGGCTTCCCAGCTTCTTTTTTTCTGCCTATATCTTGTTTGATTCAAGCCAGGGCAAAAAAAAAAAAACAACAAAACTTCAAGCAATTGTAATAGCAGATTTCTCTGTAAAATACATCTGATCAAGGAAGAACAATCATGCAAAATCATAGAACTGGAGATTCATTATAGACCCTCATGAAGTCCTGGAACTCTTCTGATTATATCCTATCCATCTAATTTTGTGCATGTATATTCAGCTTCTCAATTCCCATTAAATACTGTCATGCAGCATGCAGGTTTTGGGTTTCCTTTTTTCTCTCCACTTCATTTTTGAACCCTTGTGAGTCCCACCAGAGGTGGCATTGTCACCTTACTGAGGCTCAACACCCCCGCTGACATTAACTAATCACCACCCAATATTTATAACGTCAGTATTTTTCAAAAGTTCGTGCAAACTGCATTTCTGCATGCAAGAAAGACGCTGCTCTTCCTTGCCTAGGGCAGAGCCAGTCCACCTCCAAAGAGATTCACAGAAACCTGCATGGAGCACCATGAAAGCTCCTCCACACTCCTTCCCAGGCAGGTTCACACACAGCAGGTGGAATTTTTTGGATTAACTAAAGTACTAGAATGAATTTGACGGCTTGCTCACAAGGTTATTCCCCAAAAATAGGACAAAAATCATTGAGTAAGCATGGAGGGACAGCAACAGGGTACTATAACCCTCTCTCTGGGTCACATCGTTGCGCAAGAAGAACCTGCAACGTGAATACGTGCAACTTAATAGTGTGAAGCAAAGACATATATATATTGGCCAACACATGGCAATAGCTAGGACTAATGAGTTATTAGGCTGAGCATTAATGTGCTCATGTTCCTCCCCAGGAGACACTACGGACCCCACAGGGAGTGATTCCGCTTTTAATTATCTAAGTTTCGTGACTCAGAAGGATCATTCACTTCTCCCTCTCACTCAGTATTCTGTGTTTTCAAGTTTTATTTTTTTTAAAAAAAAGGACAAATATAAGTGGATCATTTTTGGCTGGGCCAGTAGCAGTAAATCCATGAAACTACATCAAAGTTCACAGCCTTAAGTCAGAGACAGAAGCTGCTGCCTCACAAGATTTTAAGAGATCTTTTCCCCACTGTAATTTCTAGGGGACTCTTTCCAAATATCCGCAGCAAATCCATGAAACTACATCAAAGTTCACAGCCTTAAGTCAGAGACAGAAGCTGCTGCCTCACAAGATTTTAAGAGATCTTTTCCCCACTGTAATTTCCAGGGGACTCTGTTTCCAAATATATCCCAGGATATTTTCTCCATCCTAATCTACTCAAGTTCCAAAGTCTGCAAATTAAATCCACAATGTCTTTTTCCATAAATCAAACCCAACTTCAGATGGCTCCTGTGTGATCCTTTCAGTAATAACAAATACAGTTTTCAGAATGCTTCATAAACATTAATTATATTTGTACACGTGCAGAGCATTGCAAAACTAAGCCTCTGCCTTTGGATTTAGACACCCAAATGTTGAGCAACACTTACACTTCAAAAATACTTGTATAAGGATTGCAAGCAGCATTTTCCAGGTGAGATCATTATTTTACATTTTTTCCATTTTTTTTATTTTAAGCAAATTGCCCCAGGCATAACCCAGTGTTTTTTTAAAGTGCGTGAGACAAATCCCAACACAGTGGAAGCCAAAGATCTCTCTTCCTTTCAGCAATCCGGTACAAATCATGCTCGGTTTGCCTTGTGCATGAAGACATACTCATAGAATGGTTGGGCTGGAAGGGACCTTAAGGATCATCTAGTTCCAACCCCCTGCCATGGGCAGGGACACCTCCCACTAGACCAGGTTGCTCAAATATATTCATGTATTTTAAATATCAGTACCCTGTAAGAGTCTAACCCCATGAAGGTGTCTCCAGTAGTGGTCTATTCAATAACAGATCAGCAAGTCAATAATTCGTAGCCACCTTCCACCACTAAAGACACCCCAACGTTTACTACCACCTCATCTACACATTTAGCCACAATACTTGTCCTCGTGCCTGCGGTGGAGGATCCTTCCTCACTTGGACCAAAGCCTGCAACCAGAGGATGGTGTCTGTCCTTTTTTTCTCCTTCCCCAAGGTTCTGTGGAAAACCTGTGTTGGTCAACATTACCATAAGTGACATTACATATGAGACACGGGTAATTTTGCTGTGAATACCCTCAGCCACGATGTGGCCCAGGCCTTTGGGCAATAGCCATGCTATAAAGGAGGGCAGGCACACGTGGCACTGGTGTGAGCACTGGGAAGCTCCACATGGCTGTGGTCTGCAGGAAGGGGAAGGACTACTCGGGCACAGATTGTGTACTAAAAGTCTGTGCTTATTCTCTTGCACAGTTTCCGTACAGCCTGGGTTTTGATTTAATCAGATTTCCACTCCCAACTCCCTCTAGCAATGGGAAGTGCCTCTCTGAGGGTCGGCCGGGGCAAAGTCATTCACTGGGAAATATCCAAGTGTCCTCAAGGAAAGAGTTTCGAAATATTTCTTAAGTGCTTTGTATTGATTTACATAGGCAAAGTGCCTATTATAAAGTTAATATCAGGTAACTCAATTTACAGGTCCTGGAAACAGATCTTTGCTGTCAAGTAGCTATTCATCTGGCTCAGGTGCATCTGATAATAAGCCTTGAATGTGCAAAGGGATTGTTCATCACTTTCAAAACTTTCCCATGCAGCAGACTCTGTGTTCCTGATTCTCCCAAACACCCTTCTCTTCCCCTCTTCAGTTTCAGAGAGTTTCTCCAATGTGCAGGACCAGTACAGACCACTCTCACCGTGTACGTTCTTGTTCTTTCCTTATTTCCTGAGTTTGCAAGTTTTACGTTGTTCATACCAAGTTTTTGGTGTGCCCTCTCAAGGAACTTTTGAGCAATAACACCTACGTACAGTTATTTAGCAAGAAACAAGTTGAAAATCCTCCTGTGAAACCTGTTTTTACTTTTCCTGCAAAGAACACTGGAAGAAATGAATAGGATGAATCAAAGCATATCTTATCAGACTCCTTACATTCAAATATTAAGTAATACCATAATTTTAAGTTATGCATAAAAGTTTCATTCATGATACTTTGTCAATATATCATTAGTTCTAGCCCTTGAGCTTTGAGCACTCCAGTGTCCATTAGAAGTCGCTCCCCCAGGGTGTGTGGGAGCAGAGGTCCGAGTGCTGGGCAGCGTTTCTCACCCTCTAACCGTCCCAGGTCTGCCAGGGATCCTGTCCTCACAGGATGATTCACATCAGATTTAGCTGCCTCACCCACAGATTGCTAAAAATACTTCCTTCGTTCTCCTGCATAATGTGTTTACATTCCTGTGGTTTGTTCCTGATTAAATAACTTCAGGTTTCCGTGCCATAAATTGTCTTTAAAATTCGAGATGAATGTGTGGGATTCCCCTGGGGGGAAAATTCACTTGTTAAATATATCCTGTTGAGGGCTGAGCTCAAATACTTTCAAAGAACTTTGGGAAGGCTGTACATCATCTTCTACAGTATTTCAAATCAGTCTTTCGGCAAGCTCTGATGCCACACAACAGAAAACTATCCTTCCTTTTTATATCCCAAGACGGATGTTGTATGTCCTCTACTCATTAAGGAACAACTAAACTCTATATCAAAGGTTCAGATCTGCACATGACATTTTAGATAAAATGACTGAAAATTATAGAGAGATGTTAAAGCTTGATAAAGCAAACCTGCACCAGCTGAGGGTCTAATTCTGTATTTCTAACGTTTTCTTAGGTCTCTCATCCCAACCTCTTGTTCAAAACATTCAAACTATGATGCTGAGGATCCCCTTCATGGGTAATTCTTTTACTTTTTTTTTTTTTTCCCCTCCTTTTTAGGAGGATGCTGAGGATCCCCTTCATGGGTAATTCTTTTACTTTTTTTTTTCCCCCCCCTCCTTTTTAGGTCAATCTGAACCTCTCATTTCAGTTTATACCCATCACCTTTCATCCCCCTGCCATACACCTCTACCAATGACTTGGCTCCATCTTCTCCTTAACTTGTGCTTGCCTGGAATGACAGTTCAGCCTTTTACTTTCCTGCATTCGTTCCTGATCTATAAAGGGTGACAACAGCTCCTTCCCCACCCTTCAACAGGTCAGACAGATGATCCTAGATGTGATCCTGTTCAGGGACTGTCCCTTATGTTGGTATTTCATAGCCAACACAATGTAGCCTTCAGTTTGATTATGACATTCCAGGTAATATAAAGCTGATGTACATAGTTATAATGAGACTGATCTGGTCCTCATCTAACTCTAGGAAACCAATCAGCATCTTCAGCATCGATTTTTATATACGTATTGAAGAAAGATAACAATTCACTTCAGGCAAGGGCTGATAACATTACACACGACAGAAGTTTGTTACCTACACGCTGCTGCCTGATGCTGTAGTGAAGAGCTGGGGTGGGTGAGAAAAAGGAAAACTCAAGACTGAAATGGAAAATGAGGCTGGTTGTGTAATACTGTGTGGGACAACCAGAGGGAGCTGTGGAGGCCAAACATGACAGAGGTAACTCGGCATCTTGTGTCCGCGTGACTCTGGTTTCCACCTACACAGCAACAAACAGGAT